GAGACCTCTGGATACCATCTCTGGGCATAATAATTACTAGAGCTATGGCAAAGACAGTATTTGAGACTGATGAATAAACCATATTATTTGTCTGGAATTAAGAACTAAGGGAAGAAAAAAAAATTCAACTGAAGATAACCTGCATAGTGTTTATAATGACAAGACAAAACTCCTCCAGGAGTAGAGACTGGTAGTTAAGCTGCAGAAAGGTTATTATTATGAGAAATAATAAGGATACAAAGACAAAATTTTAGATTCCTAAGAAATGGCATTACAGCATCACTTAGTACCTGGTGACTAAAGTACAAGTAAAGGAGTTTCAAAAGTAGGTTTATTTCTACTCCAGGAAAAAAGAATGTTCCCAGGAAGACTTCAAAGGTCAATCTTTATTTACTCTCATTTGGTTTAGATTAATGGATATAGATCTGAGTGTAAAATGATCTTATTTAACAAAAACAATTAATTCACCAAAATTTATACAGGGGCCTTATTCAACATAAACATACAATAATAAGAAGAAATTTCCTAGATACCAATAACTGGTTAGAAAATGAAAGGAGAAATATAGCATTCACCAAAAACTACCTCACATAAATTTTTAGTAACCTAAAAATCATATATATATATATATATATATATATATATACACACACACACACACATATCTATATAGATAGATATAAATACATCTATATAGATAGAGAGACATAGTAATATATGTATACTAATACTTAGAACTATCCTTAAAATATCACACGCCTATTAACAGGAAAATGTCAAACCTTTACTGTAAAAGATCTATGAAATAAAGAAAACTGTATCAAGTTCATGAATTGGAAGAAATAATATTGGAAAGATATCATTCTAAAAATTATTTTATAGGTTGAGTATAATTCAAATTAAAATCACCAACAGTTGTGCTTTTTATTTGACAAGGTGATCCTGAAGTTTACTTGGAATAATAGAAAATTAAAGGCTAATAAGAACACTACAACAAAATGAAATAAAAAGCAGAAAGAATTAGGGTGGAATTTGCTTCGTTAGATACTTAAAAATATTGTAAAGCCACAATACTTAAAATTCTGACCCAAAAAGCAACAGACATTGATAAAACTGAATAGCTCAGAAATGAAGACATTCATCCAGATGAGAACTTACTATACAATGAAATAGTATGAAGAAAAGTTGTTAAAGAATTATTTGATAAATGGTGCTGGGATAATTAGTTGATCATTTAAAAATATACAATGTTAAAACTTCACCTCTCGACAGGAATTAAAATACACTAAACACAGATAAAGGGGTTAAACTGATGTAAAAGGTAACATTTAAAAGTTTTGGGGCGCCTCGGTGGCTCAGTGGGTTAAAGCCTCTTCCTTCGGCTCAGGTCATGGTCCCGGGGTGCTGGGATCGAGCCCCACATCGGACTCTCTGCTTGGCGGGGAGCCTGCTTCCTCCTCTCTCTCCGCCTGCCTCTCTACCTACTTGTGATCTCTGTCTGTCAAATAAATAAATAAAATCTTTAAATAAATAATAATAATAAAACAAACAAACAAATAAATAAATAAATAAAACTTTTAAATATAAGTGAGTGTCTATTTTTCAAATCAGAGAATGGCTTCTAAGCCTAAAGAAAACGAGAAAATTCTAAAGGGAAACACAGGTCAAGAAACCTAAAAATAGTTAGTTTTCTTTATTAAAAACATTTAGGGGCACCTGGGTGGCTCAGTTGTTAAGCGCCTGCCTTGGCGCTGATTCCAGAGTCCTGGGATCAAGCCCGTCATCGGGCTCCCTGCTTGGTGGGAAGCTTGCTTCTCCCTTTCCCTCTCCCCCTGCCTATGTTCCCTTTCTCTCTGTGTCTCTCTCTGTCAAATAAATAAAATCTTTTTAAAAAAATTTAAATGAGGTGTGCCTGGATGGATCAGTCAGATAAGCGTCTGCCTTTGGCTCAAGTTATGATCCCAGGGTCCTGGGATCAAGCCCTGAATCTGGCTCCCTGCTCAGTGGGGATCCTGCTTCTCCTTATCCTTCTGTCCCTCCCCTCTCTAGTGCTTCCTCTCTTGCTCTCTCTCAAATAAATAAAAATCTTTTTAAAAATTTTAAATGAAATGAAATATTGCCACAAATCTGACAGTTTCTATACAAAGTATAGAACGACTCGTTCAAACCAATGAACAAAACAGCAAACTCAAAAGCAAGTGCTTACATGACCAAAAGAAACAATTTGCAGAAGAAAAATACAAGCAGATAGAAAATGTTTTAAAAACCCCAACCACTCTAGTGATTGAAGAAAATAAAGTTAATGACAAAAAAATTCCACCTGTGCACTTGTTCAAGTTATGAAAAATGACATTTCTTGGTATTGGTCAGGGTGTGGCAGAAAGGCTACCTTTATTCAGTGCTGAAAGAAAAGTGTCATGGTAGAACTTCTCTGAAATGCAACACAGTAAGAACTACTGGGAGCTTTTAAAAGTCATTGGCCAGAATTCATTCCATGACAAACATAAAAATGTGGGGAGATTAACATGGGAAATGTTTTTCAGAGCATTATATACTGGCAAAAAAAGTGGGGGAGAGATGAGCCACATTTGGGGAATGAGTAAATATAGTGAAATATCACATAATCAATAAGATAGTGTTTTGGAAGAATAGTTACTGGAGAAAATGCTGATGATACATTATAAAAATAGAATATACAATTCAATAAACACTGACACAATTTGGTGAAAAGAAAAGAAGAGCATTAGATGAGGAAAAAAAAGAAAGGAGAGAGAGGGAAGGAAAAATGAAAGACGGGAGAAGGGACGGAAGAGGGAGAAAGGAAAAAGAGAAAGAAGAAAGGAGAGAATAAAAATAACAAAAAAGATGTCTGGGTAGGGAACCCCCCAAATGCTCTTAGTGATTATCTTTGTGCCAGGTAATGTTCTGTCATTTTATTTTCTCCTATACTTCCCTACTTTTGCAAATTCTCCACTGTGACCATATGTTATTTTTATAACCAGAATAACATGATTATTTTTTTAAAAAACTATTAAGAAGAGAAAATCCATCATGCTGCATCCCTATCAGTCCAAAAAAGAACTAGACCCTGAGAATATCTCCAGACAGGGAGAGTCAAAATAATGAGAGGCTGGCTATACTCCCAGATGCCAAACCAGTGGGTTAGCTTAATTAATTCAAGGAGAAAAGTTTGTTTTTGCTTCCTGGAGACCCACCACTGTGGTTGAAAAGTCCAATAAGTGCCACATTACCAATATTTCTGGAAATGGTTTTAAAGTTAACGGAGCTATTTCTTTGGTCCTACCTACTCTGACAGAGATGCTGAAATCCTGTTGTGGTTCTGGTAACTCTTTGCTGTTACAGGAAAAAAAAGCCCTCCCCAGTTGTCCTACACATACCCAAAATGTGACATACTTAGGTTTTCTTCCTGTCCCCAACTAGTAAATGTGAAACAATTTCACTGGGTTTATTTTACACCTTTTAAAAATGATCTACTCAATTTTCCAGGGTCAATTTTCAAGCTTAACGATATTCCAATCTTATCTTTCTTCACATGCCCATTGTCTAGACCCTGCTTATGAACAATCCCATTCAAGGGGGCGCCTGTGTGGCTCAATGGGTTAAGCGTTTAATTCTTGATTTCAGTTCAGGTCATATCTCGGGGTTGTGAAATCAGGCCCTTAGTCCAGCTCATGTGCTAGAAGTGGAGCCCTCATAGGATTCCCTCTCTCCCTCTCCCTCCCCCCACACTCCAAAAAACCTAAATAATAATAAAGAGCACTCCCATTCAAATGTTAAGAGATAGGAAACTTAGATTATTTTTCCTGCTCTGCTAAAAATCATATTTGGGGAAAGAGGTTAATAAAGATGCACCAATGGAAATTGAGAAATTCAGTTTGCAAAGATAAAATCTGTTTTAAAGAATGGAATGTAGAGGTTGAATCTATATAGACTTTAAAAAAATTTTTTTAATAAACATATAATCTATTTTTAGCCCCAGAGGTACAGGTCTGTGAATTGCCAGGTTTACACACTTCACAGCACTCATCAATCTAATTAAATACACCCATGCATCTTGTGTATCATGTCGTATGTATCCTGGAATAGCAGCTTAACAAAAAGTTGTTGGCTGAATTGTTTCCTTTATCTATGTTATTCCATTTTCCCATGACGGGAATTCATAAATAGGACATAATTAGAATGCATGATAGCACAGATCACATCTGCCAAATGACAAATTCTGGTCACCTTGAGGTACTATTTCACCCAGTTAAGCCAGTTGAGTTGACAAAACAAAAAGGTCTTTCTTCTTTAATAAGTTAAAGAAGCAAATAAACTGCTTCATATAAATGCACACCTGTCATTAGGATAAAAAAAAAGTCAGTGGTGGCATCTGGGCCAGCCATTTTACATATATTTTTACTAGTTACCTGTTTTGTGTACCATTAAGCTATAATCAGAATTGTTACTATCTGTTATTAGGAGGCTATATTTTAGTTTGTCCTCAGCCAAATGACATGTTTTTAACTCTTACAAAACCCACAATAATGTTAGGCATTTACCAATCTCAAAGAGCATAGCCCTATTTTTAAATCTAAGCCTATTTTAACTTCTATCATTTGAATGTCATTTACATCGACTTACTTGCTACTTTACAAATGCTATCCTTTTTCACATAGATAGCTCTGAGTTAGAAGGAACTAAGAAAGAGTTCCAAGAGTCTAGATCTGCCGCTGACCTCTGCTTTTCCATAGCCTTAAAGCTGAAGTTAAGAAGGAGGCAATATCAGAGCTGGCATTATTTTGAGTTCTTAATTTTTAAATTTCACATTCAAAAGAAATGGCAGTGGCCTTTGCACAGGTCATTTCTTTTGAAGAACGGGAATGGGAAGAGACTCATATATATTTTTGAAACCTCCCCAGTATGGCACACCGTGACATGTGATCAATGGATCCTCATGCTTTGATATGTTACAGCGGCAACGTTCAGAAATGACTTACTGGGTTGTACATCTGATTGAACAACTGCTCAGCTTGCTACATTGCAAAGTTGGGGAGGCATTGAAGCACAGACAGGGAAAGAAGGAAAGATCCGGAAAAACAGCATTAGCTCAACAAATCCAGTGCATTTGCACAGACGAACTGGTTGTTAAAAAAGAAGAAATTTCAGTTTTTAAACATTCCACAGTGAAAGTGAGAGGCTCTAGGGAAATAGAAATGTTGACTTTGGCTCCTAAAAAAGAATAGCTGGAATAAGAAATTTAAGGTTTGTGTTACTTTCCCTTTCTCAAGTTAAATAGCCCATGAAATAAAGAAAGCTGTCCACTTTTGATGATACATGAAGTGCTGGCCTCTAGCAATGAATCAGAAGAAGTACTTTTGGCCAAACCGGCAATTTATTACCTGAACTTCAAAGATGGTAATAATAAAAGATTAATTAAATCTTATCATTGAATTTATAGCTCTTCTTTTATATTAACACAAGCCTGAAGTTTCTATTCAGTCTAATTTTAGGAAAATATAGACAGCAAACAGCAGGTTAGCAATAGCAAAATATCAGTAAGCAAGACATTACAAGATTAACAGTAAATGGGGAGAAGAAAAAAATTAAGTGATCAGGAAGAAAAAAGGAATCAAAATGAACTGTTATCCATTGCCCATTACCAGTTCCTACTATTAGTTCATAATTAATAAAAATGTAATTTTTAGTGACTATCCTATTATGTTCCAAGTGCTTCAGAATTTGTAAAGTTCTCCAGTCTATTTTGTGTAGAAGATTTCAATTTTTGTGGATTTAAATGTACTGAATATTATCTAAAATATCAGTCTCAGGTTCTACTTCTTAAATACCTACATCATTAACTTGGGGTTCAATGTCAAGTTGTAGAAGGTGAAATACTGTAGGAACTTTCACTTTACTTTAAGCTGAGACATGTGCCTTTAAAGAGCCTGATTTTTTTCATTTGTTCAGCTTTGATGAAGTAAATGATAATTTTACCATGGTTTAAAAAAACCCACTTTCCTCAAAGATGATATTAATTGGAAAACTACCAAATCATAACATTTTGATTTGTTGCTTCTCAATTGATTTCTAGTTAGATAAGGTAAAATTATTTCTACATATTGAACGACACGTATTTTTTTGAAAGACAAAATTATCCACATGTCACTAATGAGGTTCTTCTCAATCTCTGAGGGTCTACTTAAGATTAACGAATACAATTAATTCGTAAAGCACACTCAAAACTCATTGCACTGTGTGGTTACTATCATTCTATTAACCTCATTAATATCAGGAAAACTTTCCTCACATATGAATATTTGATGGCATTGTTTTTAAGATGTGGGATGCAAAGTTTAAGGGACAGTTCCTTTTCTGCCTATAACCATTTTTCATCATGAAGTATTTGGAGACTTAAATTAACAGTATAATAAACAGTTAAAAGTAACTAGGCATGTGAAAGTTCTCCACAAACTTTTATGTAAAAACTCACCTTACCAATGTCAAGAATTGTTCATAAGGCAAAAATAAATTTAAATCCAATGTGGATCTCATTGTCACTGGCAAAACAAGGTTTCTGTTCAGCTAAACACATCTACGATGTTGTGTATATTTTATGGCAAAAATACATGGACGCTCACAAATCTTGAGCAAAATTCCATAGGGAATTCATGGTTTATTTATGACATAATAAAACTATTATGTTTTCAGCTTTCATTTAGTAAACCTTTATATTTTATTCACAAGTCACATACCCTTTTATTTAAAAAGAGGCCCAGACACTCCTTAAGCTTTTATAGCTGCTTATTTTTCCATGAGTAAATGATGTGTTTATATGTATATTCACATACTGTTGGCTTATATTTTCAAATATTTCATGTAGATCTCAATTCTTTTTAAGGTGATGGGTACTTGAGGTTTTTACAGAACTATTTATTAGCAGAAATTAAAGACTACTAGAAAAGTATTTAAAACTTTTGAATTTAGTTGATGCTAGAAAGCCAAAAATAACAAAATAGCATCTGCAGGTTAGGTATGAAAATATTTAAATTATAATTACCTTATTTAATTTCACTGTACTATGCATTTAGGAGATAATATAAGCAAACATTATTTATATACTTAGAAATAAGTTATCTTTTCATAAATTAAATAGATCCCTAAAGCAAGACAACCATTTTTGTTACTTTAACCCTGGTGATGTGGCAGAATGTTAAAATATTGTCAGGAATAATGCTAAAATGCTTGCAGGATTGGCTCTGTGAGTTTTAGCACACAATATCAACTGAGAGTTGGAAATGACACCCTCTGAGTGACTCTGGGCAAATCAGAGCTACACTGAAAGAAATTAAATTGAAATGCATAGACATTCACTTATTAAACTAGTCAAGTCATATACATGGAAACTGTAAGTGTCAATATGGGAAACTTCTCCTTTTAATTACTAGAGGGTTTCAAATTCCATAGGTGACCTACATTAAAAGGGAGTATATCAAGTATGTATCTGCAGAAATAATATATGTGGTGGCCTCAGCTCCACAATGGCCACAGAGAGTTGATGAGCGTATCTTTTGTGGCCAGGTCTAATTGAGGTCCTCCTTCAGGACTCAGCACAATGCAATTGAGGTAAGCTAATGCAAAGCAAGTCAATCAAGTCTTCTCACAGTTATCTTAGAGCTGCCTTGTGATCACGAAAGTGTTCATTAAACTAGAAGTACCTTCCCTAGGTTCATTTCTTGATACGTACATGTATGCATAACATATTACAGAACACATTCATGTATGTGTCAAGAATGTATTATCATACACCCAATGCATAAATAGCCAAGTCAACTGCCACTTAAGCACCCTCAAATGGGCCATTTAAATTCTTCTATTTATTGTTTGAGATTTTTGCTTAACTAGATATTGCTTGAAAAAGGCGAGACAGAGTGGATTGAAAAGTAAATTTTGCAATACAGAGACTTTTCTTGCTGTTTTGCTGTACAGGGATTTGATCTCTATCTTTTTCAGTAAGGAGACTTTCTTTACTAGTGTGAAATTTCTCAGGGACAATTTCCTAAAATTCTGTGAACAGAGTATATCACATTTCAGTTATATATTGTACCATATAAAATAGTAATATTCAATTTTTAAATATTCAAAATAATTTCTCTACAGATATATGATGCTTTAACATCCTTATCATCCACATCATGTATTTTCATAACTTTAGCAAATAAATCCCCATTCCAGTGTGCTATAAATTATACATAGTCAAATTTTATTATATGCTTTGATTATTTAGATTCTTATTATCTCTTTTGAATTAACTTTATAAGTTGTCAAAGGGAAACAAAATGCTTAAACTCATAAAATTATGAGTTTTATATGAACAATGAGTGCAGACGTACCAAACAACACAGGGAAAAAGTCAAAGGAACGATGCATGACTAGAAAGGTACTCCACAAAAATGTCCAGTTCAGAGAAAACATGTTAATGCTGCAATGTAAAGATCCTGTTTTCTTTTACAAAGTCTTCTACATTCAACAAGCTTTCTAAGATATTAAGGTCATTTTTGGTTAAGTACAAATAGTCATCCCACAGATATTCTAGGGACTTTGACTATTTGGGTGGACTTCTAGAAATTTAATATTGTCAAGTAATCTTTTACAAAGCTCCAATATAAAAATTAACCTACTTCTGAAAGTAGTAAAAGTTTATCAACATATAATGGGAACCCAGATTCTTTGATTTGTTACATTTTCACTTTTGTTTTTATAGTTGAGATTTACCCAGAGAGTAGCAGCTTATTTTTATAATATATATTTTTTTTACTTCCACTACTATTTTCATCTGTTTTTCAAGTTCTTTTTCAGACAGGAAACCTAAGATATTTTTTCAGGTTCACTGGCCAATTTGATGCAGACTTCATGAATTAAGAGTGCCTAATTTTCTTATCACCAGACAGCAAAAGATAAGGGGTTTGTTTCTTTGCAAAATTATCTCTTCCTTTTCCATTTTATAAATTCATTGTAAAATTAGCATTTTTTTTCCTTGGACTTCACTTACCTTTTTTAACTGTGCTTCCAATTTGCTACATTCTTCTTTCTTTTGTTCAATGGCTATTTCTAGAGATTTTAATTTGGAGTCCCTTTTCAGCCCTGCTGAGGCTAATGAAGATGCATGTTCCTTGAGGTCAATTAAACTAGACTGAAAGGAAAGAACACTAGTAAGTAAAACACCGCAATTTCTACTAGTCTTCAATTTGATTACATTGATTCTCTGCATAGTAGTAAAGTGTGCATTAGACAGAAAGGGTAAATATAGTCTTACTAAGGTAACAATAGCGGCTCTGGCCAGGAAATTAAAATTGGCCAGCTTACAGAATCGAGCAGGATCTAATTGCAGTAGAATCAAATGTGACCAAATTGTGTGGTCAGTAAATGCGTGTTTCATGTCTCAAAGTCATGCTGATGATGTAAGTCCCAAGGTGGTCTTTACATGTCATGGCAAAACAGACACCCCGAACCTTCCATTTACATTTATTGCTGTCAAGTCGTGCAGACTCTAAGATAAATATGAAAGAAAATACTAACTCTAATGCTTCCCCCCCCAAAGGGCAAATTAAATATAAAAGAAGCATCTTGTTAAGTTTTTATCAAATTCCACTTCTTTAATAGAAAAATAACCAACAGTTTCTAAGATATCTTCTATAGAGTCAAAGATAAAATTATTTTAAAATTTAGAGTAGACTTTACATCCCAGTCCTTTGTAAATCCTAATTCAACAGAGATAATGAATCTCCCCATTTCAGACATGGGTTTGCCTACATTGTTCCACTCATCAATCACGCCCAGAAACTAAGAGTTCCCCTGGATAGTCTGAATTTCAAAAAGTAAAGTAAATATGTGCATATATCTGGAATATCAATGTGCTTAGCTAAGAAGGCAATGTCTATTACCAAACATGAAATGATTAGCAGCATCTAATAATGTATCCAAAATACTCAGGTATTATCCAAAATTAGACTTTGTGAGTTTCCTTTATATCCCTTTGCAGCATCTAGAAGGACACTAAGCACACAGTGGCCACTCAGTAAATGATATTACCTAATATTTTGTGTCTGAGCTACTTCCTGGGCCCTGGAATAATCTTGTTGATGATAATATCACCATCACTCAGCAAACTATCCAGCTCCTAACAACCCTCTGAAGGACAGAGCAGCCACTCTCATCTTTCAGATCAAGAAACTGAGGGTCACAAGAATTGTCTTTTCTAAGGTTCCTGACCTATTAAAGGAAGACAGAGGTCTCAAACCCAGAACTCTGACTCCAATTTCAATGCTCTTTATCATACTACTCCCACAGAAATAATAATAGACCTTGCAATCTAGGCATTTTGTCATGACGAAGGTGATTATCACCCCAAATAATTATAAGCTGACAACAATTATATGTCGTTTTTCTCTATACATTTTAAATTGCCAGGTCTGATAGCTTTATGTGTCAACTTGGCTAGGCTATAGTCCCCAGTTACTCAATCATACACTAATCTAGGTGTTGCTATGGAGGTATTTGGTAGCTGTAACTAAAAACTATCATCAGTTGATTTTAAATAAAGGATATTATTCTCCAAATCTGGGTTGGCCTGAGCCTATCAGTTGAAAGGCCTTAAGAGAAGGACTGAGATTTCCCTGAGAAGGAAGAAATCCACCTGTGGACTGCTGTGTCAGTTCCTGTCTGGAGTGTTTCCAGCCTGCCCTTCCTGATGGCCTACCCTATGAATTTCAGATTTGCTTAGCCAGTCCCCATAACTATGTAAGCCAATTCCTTGCAATAAACTTCTTAACATGGTTAAATTTCTTAATACAGTTCTGTTTTTCTGGTAGAACCTTGACTGACACACCCATCCCACCGGCAGGCACATTACTATACAGGAACAATAAATGTTTGCTGAAATGCTTGTCTGAAATCATACAAGGTAAGCATTGTTTACAAAATTATTTTCATTTAAAGCTATACTCCACAACATCATCAAGATCTCTTTTCAATCATATATATATAGTTGAGATTATATATCATATATATATAGTTGAGATATATATATACATATATATAAAAATATATATATACATATATATATGTGTGTGTGTATATATATATGTGTATATATATATATATGTGTGTATATATATATATATATATATATATTTTTTTTTTAAGGTCCGGATCCATGAATAACACAATCAGTTACTCAAATTGCAAATGAGATCAAAGCTTCTGTGTATTCTGTTATATACCAACTACAGTAATTACAGATCCCCTAAGTCAGATTTAGCAGTGAAATAGTAGGAAGAGAATTTACATTCTTCATTTTCCTTTCAAAGAAATAATCTCTTTTGTAAAAAACAAAAACAAAAACAAAAAACAGCATGCTTACATTTTAGGGAACTTGCATTTTGTTTCTATTACTCATCAAATCTCCCAAATTTAGATTCCTCATTTAGACAGTACTTTAATTTGTACAGAATTACCAAAACCAAAGGCTGAGGTAATAATCTGGTGCTGGAAAACGGACACCTATGCGTGATACAGCCCAACAGGAGGAAAGAATCTGTGATAGCCCTAAAGGAGATGGACATTTCCTATGGACAAAAATAAGTGTGAAGGGGCCAGTTGTGGACAACAGCACATATCTCAGAGTTCTGGAGACTGAATAAAATAACATGCAATGCTGCTTCTCAAACTTCTCCATCAACGTATCCCTAAGTAAACTAAAGGAGGTAGTGGTATCTCTATCCCTCAGATCATGGGGAGTACAGCCCTACCCATCCTCTCCATAACCCCCAAGCAAAAAATTTCTTTGAAATATATTGTTTTACTTAAAAAATGAAGGTAGGATTTGTATTCTGCATTCATGTTTGCTCTAGCATGAAAACATTGTTCTAAATTATTTACCATAATGTAAAATCGATATTCCAGAAGAATCATCACATTTAACATATACATTGTGTCTAGCATGGTACTGTATCCCCTAACCTGGAAGTATTCAGTGATCTGATTGAGCAGCACAGATCAATGTAAAGCATGTAACACAAGGACTGGCATGTAATAGACCCTCAGTAAGTGCAGAAATTATTGTTGTTGTTATTATTATTATTGATATTGTTGTTATCCCAAGCAAAACATCATGGCACAGTAAAAAAATTACAGAATCCTCTAAGCCAGACAAATGTGGTAAAACATCAAGAAAACTTTCAAGGAGCTACACTGTATGCAGTGAAAGTAAAGACGAGGGCATAAGGCATCCTGATAAAGGGAGTTACAGTAAATATTTTCCTTTGAACTCCAATGGCTTTGACAAGGAAAGGTAACAATGTCCCCAAACCTTCACACAGACCCTCAAACTCACTCTCTAGTCTCTTGAGGCTCCCGAGAATGGGACTATCAGCATGGTTCATTTGTTTTTCCAGACTCACCTCTTTTTCAGTCAGTTCAGCTTGTAAAGCATTGACCTTCTCTTTCAGATCTTTGTTCTCTTTTCGGAAAGATTCTATCTCTTCTAGTCTTTCCCGATCATCTCTCTCCCGCTGTTCTTTCAAACGCTCAATTATTCTCTCCTGTGAGGTAATTATCAAAAGAGAAGTGAGAAGCCATCAGTTGTATGTCAAGGCACACTACAAAAGGAAATGGGAGGCAATAAATGTAAGAAATGAGCTACATGAGTCAACACACTCAAGACAGTTAAAATGGGTTTGTGAAGACAGGCTGTGCATAACAGCATTTGGAAAAGACAATCAATATGGCTTTTGGCTTACTAATAAAAGTCAGCATCACAGCGTTGCAAGGAATCTTAATGTTCAAGATCTGAGGCTGTTCTTGGTTCATGGTGGTACTTGGGAAATTCCAAAAGCAGTTCCAGAAGGTTCAGGCACCAAGACTCTAGGTTTATGAAAGACTTTAATGGACGAGTAGAAGAAGGACAATTAACCTCTTGGTTCAACCTTCTCTGCTTGGTTTTCCTATTCCTTTGCTTGGTTTCCAAAAAAACTTCCTTGGTTTCTGAAGATTCTGCTGTGGCTAGAAAGGGGATCTAAGCGGGGCAAGACGTAGGCCCTTCAGGTCTTAGGTCTGAACTAATAGCGAGAACTTGAAACAAAATAATGAATGAGCTCATTGGATAAGTGATTTGCCAATGTACCTAGAGATGACCATTTTTCCTCCATATTTTTCCAATGGCTTCTTGGCAATCAGTAGAGACTCCAACAAAACATTGCTTTAATTTGACAAAGTTCAAATAGCAGCTTTCCTTTACTGAGAGTTTCTTACATGCTAGGCTCTGCGATGTGCCTTTCTTCCTCTAGACTTCATCACCACTGCACGGTCTGAGCCAGTACTACTAGTAACAGTATGGTAGGAAACCCAGGCCCAAAGACAGGCTAACTCATCCAAGGTGACCCAGCACATAAACAGAAGGCATAGCCTAGCATCCAGGGCTCTCTGAGTCTTAGCCAGGTGCATGAGACCACACTGCCAAAAACAGATGCATGGTGCCGGTTAAGGAGATCTGAGAACCTTGCGTCCCCTGACTTACATGCTGAAATGAAAGCACTGGTCTGATAGATGTGTTCTCCAAAAATGTGAAATCTAACCAGTATCAAAATAAAGCCTTCTTCTTTTTAAGTAAAATTGCACTGGGGTGATGTTTGAGCTAGATTTCTAAAATTTGTTTCAAATTACCCAACACATATTTGAACTTCCCTTAGGATGGCAAAATAAAAAAATACTGGTGCAATAATTACTCTTAAGGATCCTGATATTATCTTTTATATTCTTATAAGTATGTAGTATTAGACAAGGCCTGATATGTAAGAAACATAAAACAGTATATGATTCAGAGAGAGGTTAGTTTGAACACTTAGCCTGTGATTTAAGTCCCCCCAGGGAAGCAACTGTTCTACCCCAATGACAGTAATTTATGTATCTAATGCTCTCAAGGAAAAAAAGAAGTATCATTATTGTTTTGTAATTAGCTAAAAACACTTTAAAATGAAGTATATTATTACAACAGTGGGGGTGGAAAGAGAACAAATCAGTCTACTAATTGTCTACATTTGTTTCTTTTTGATTCCGGTTTTAGTCCTATTTGACTGCCTGTGACACTGGTGAGTGGATAATTATGCCATCTACAAAAAAAGAAAATGGCCTCAGTGCACAGGAAGTCTCTCAAGGGCTTTTAAAATTTTCAGCAGCTGAACCCTCACTGCCTTATGCCTACACTCATTGCAAAAGCATCACAACTGGTCACCCGGCCACGAGGCCCTGTCCATGCCATCACTGCCACCACATGAGCTGTTGGAGTGACATTTTTTTTTAAGTCCCAAACTGTGTCACCTCACAGCTTGGAAACTTCCCCAGGAATTGGTCTGGCTGGATCATGTGGCCTTTATTCCCATTCAGTGCCCTTCATATGGTTTTACTGTATGTCTATCCTCCCAGCCTAGCTTTCCAAAGGGCAGCACTCAACTCCTAAGGCTCTTTTAACTCAGGGCTGAGCAAACTGTCTGGCATACAACAGGCAATTAAAGAAGCTGAAGGAAGGAATAAGAGGAGTGAGAACTCAACTTAGGGACTGTCTTAGCTTCAAAGGAAGGGAAATAAAATTAAGTATGCATGTTAACATCCAGAAGGTGTCAGAGTCATTTGGTAAGTAGGTTGATTTGCTCTAAGCACTTGTACTATTGACTGGGCATCGATGACAAAAAAAATCAGCAAGCACTATAATGTTTTTAAGTGTTATTGATGATTCAATACTACAAAATATTTCTCCGTCAATCACAAAACTAATTTAACTGTCAGCCACGCAGGGCCAGATGTCAAAAACATGTGTTAAAAGGCCCTAATATGCCATGATCTACTTGATTAACAACTAACTTGCAGAAATTCCAACAACGTGTTCTTGTTTTAGTCTTATTTGCATTGGCAAGTATTTCTTGCGCACTCATCTGGCTCTGCACAGGTCTAATCTATTTGTGCTTTATCACTGAGCGGGAACTGAATTACAGCAGCCTCCGGCTCTGCTATCTGCCTTTCTCAACTGCTTATCTGCTATGCAGCTACAGCAACGCTTGGCGAGACCAGCTTTATAAATCCTGTGGGTTCCGTCTCTTGAGCTTCTGTGTGTCAATCCTAGAACTAAGTCATACTCAATCTTAACTAGCTAAGTGGCATTAGTTTTTGCACTGTGAATATGTATATAAATTCTCAGAAACTAAAAATGAATAACACACTCCCCAAAGGTCATAATTCAAGTGGAATGGTGAATAGTGCCTAATAGGCTCCATTCATCAGCCAAATGACAGCAAATAATTAGATGTTCTTATGAGTCCATGATTTTTAATTAATCATTTTATTTTTTGTACCATATCTTGTTCCAGGGGATCTGTTCAATTAAATGTGGATAAAACTGGAACTTGTGAGGGAAGGGCCACTAAAGGTGATCATGATGTTGTAAAAACAACAATTATTAGAAGGTTTGAGTTTCAGTCACATTCCATGACAGGTGAGCTCAGTGGCCTTGAGAGAGTCCAGGAAGGCAACAAAGTCCCAACATAGGGGCAACTTAGATGAGAAGTGGCTTCCTGGAGCACTGGGTTGAGAAGTTAGCATGCACCATAGTCTATCTATGACATCTACCTAGCACCCAGAAACAGGGAATTGTGCTGCATCTGTCGAAAATTTTCAGTTCTTTAAAATGGAAGAGTATAGGTTTGGTATTTCTCAAAGTGTGGTCATTTGACCACTTTCATCAGAATCACTGGCATACTTTTCACAGGTTCTGGGGCGCTGAGGTGGCTCAGTCATTAAGCATCTAGGATCCCACAGTCCTAGGAATGAGCACCACATCAGGTTACCTGCTCACTGGAGACCCTGCTTCTCCCTCTCCTCCCCGCTTGTGTACTTGCTCTCGCTATCTCTGTCTCTCTCTCAAATAAATACATAAAAAATCCTTTTAAAAAAAGTCACAGATTCCTTGGACCCATGGAAAAGCAACTGAATCAGAACCACTAGGAAATGGGACCCAGGAAACTGTATTTTATGAAGCTCCTTTTATGAAGATTATTTGGATACACACAAAAGTTTGATACTGGAATAAATACTTACAATGAATCTACTATTCTCCCATGATGAAGAACCTTGCCAGTTCCTAACCAATGTTTTTGTCTGTGCTTTTCAAATACACTAACATCCTGATTTTGTTACCTTTTGAAAATTCCCTTCAAATGAATTGATCTGTATTTGCTTTTAATCTTTATTACTGTGAAAGACTAAAAGTCAGATGCAAATAAAATTTGAAAACTAAGAGCTCCAGGCCAAAGCTGGCCTACCTCACATTTGGTTTGAGCATCATGATATTTTAAAACCTGAAGTTGAATGGCTTGAGGTAGGTCAAGGACTCTGCCACTTGTCACAGTTGCCAGCAGTCCCTACTGACTCACACCAAGCTCACTTCCCTCATTTTTGTTCTCTGCCTGACTCTTAAAGGTATCTAACTACTCAACTCCTCATCTACTGCCCAATTCAGATTTCATGCACCTGAGATTGTGGATCAGCAAACTGAATAATTATTATCAAGGTGGTTCCAAAGAGAAATGGAACTTGGATGTCAGCTAATTTAAATGTGCATTTTGAAAATAATGTACTAAGAGAAGAGGCCTGCCCCACGTGATACAACTCTCAAGTGGTGGCATGAGTATAGTGGGGGGCAGACTCCCACAGACCTGTCTTCCTTCCCAGTCATCCTCTCAGTCTCAAAGGAAGTACTTAAATAAAAGAAATAGTTTCAGATTTGGGAATTGTTTGGGGATTTAAACAAGAATAAATCAAATCTTAATAGGGCCAGGGGAAAAAAAAGATAAAATCCTGCCAAGTAATCCATGACATGGAAAAATTATATGGTATATGTTTACTTCCATAAAGTTGCAGAAAGAAACTGAGAGGTAGTAATGCACTGACATCATATCACTCAAAAACTGCAAACAGGATACATAATCATTAATATTTTTGAACAAACATTCCCTCATTCAAATTTTTACAAACAAAATTACTACAGAGAGTTTTGGTAGTAAATTCTTAAGAATTTTAAAAAGAGTATTTTCCAAGAATCATCTTATTTATTCTTTTATGTTTTCAAGTAAAATCGCATATCCTAATAATTTAATATTAAAGTTATAATGTTATCATTTCTATCTAGACATAGACTTATGGCTCTTCCTTTTAGCATCTCTATTTTTTTATGTACTGCTGTGGCTCTCAGACTAGAATGAACAATCACCAATGACTGGATGTTCACTCCTGGAACTTCCTAAAGTACAGAATCCCAGACCCTCTCAAAGCTCTGGTTTAGTAGGTATAGATGGAGCCTAATGATTTAGATTTCCAACAGGCACCTTCTGGTGATTCTGACACAGAAGTCAAAAAAGCCTTCTTTAAGATACACTGGCTTAAAAAAAAAAATCTGTGGGCCATTTAATTTAATATATTTCTTTCCACAAATTTGAGGTGCTGGGAAAAAGAATTACTTGCCAAGGTCATCCAGCTAGTGGCAGGGCTGGGACTAGCTCCAACCCAGGTTTCCTTCCACTTGACTTCATTACTGCAGTTCATGGACTATGATAATGGGGAATATAGGAGACAGGCAGTATAGCTCCCAAGTCCACATCCTTGACTACTGTGTAATACAGCTTTTCAGGAAGCTGAATTCCTAGAAGAAGAGGAATTCAATCTGCAGAAAGTAAAGAACGTTCCAGGCTAGGTAACAGTGTGGGCAAAGGGTCGGAGAAAGGAAGGAACATGGCAAACTTGAAGATCTAGGCCAGCGTAGCTAGAATACGGAAAATGAGGGAAGAGAGATGGGGGATGAGGCTGGGAAAGAAGGAAGGAAAGACAGAAAAAGAGGGAAGGTAGAGGAAGGGAGGGAGGGAAAAGCAAAGAAGGGAAGGAAGAAAAATAAGGAGAAAGGGAAAGAGGATGGGAGGATGGGAAGGGGAGAGGAGTAAGGCAGACAGGCAGAGAGATAGCTGATCAGATACGAGCCAGATCAGATGAAGGGGTGGATCGTATGTGCCAGGTTAAGGATTTCAGTTGTCATCATCCTAAGAACAGTAACAAGCTAATGAAGGTTTTTAAGCAGAGCCAAATATGATGGGATCAGTTTTGCATTTCAAGGCTCTCCTGGCTTATTTACTGTGCCAAGTATACTGAGGAAGGCTAACATGGGAGTGGGAGGTCCAGCTGGGAAGGCAGGTAGTGTGAGCACAAAAGCGGGCACATTTAGATCACCTCCTCCCAACCATGCTTCCCTAAATCCTAACACCCCCATTTTTCAGCCCAAGCTCACCTTTTCTGACAGAGCCTCTTCGAGTGTTGCTAGCGCAGTATCTGTATTACTGGAATCCGTCTGCAAGGACTTCACTCTGTCTTTCAAATTGGTTAGTTGTTTGTCTTTATCCCTAAGTTGTTCTTGTAAGTTTTCAATCTGAAAATAAAGATCACCATACTTAATGCATATTTTATAACATATCCAAGGCCAGGATTCCTTAACTGGACCTGTTTTTAAAACATAGACCCGAGGGTACAGACATTGTCAGCACTGAAGTTACAGAGACTTAGAATCAAGACCATTTTGATGAGACCTCATCCTTCCATGTTATTAAACTTTGTATTTAAATGGTGATACAGATGAGCAGACTACCTCTTTCCATACTGATGCAAGCCCTTCAGGCATGTAAACATTGCTATTTCTACCTATTTCTGTCCTTCCTACCAGACTGGTCCCTAATCTAATCTCCATTACAGTGAATCAGAGAAATACATTAGCAGGATTTTTTTCATTCAATGAAAAGACATGCAGTGGGTGCCCATTCTGCATCAAGCACCATATCAGTATATGGCAGAACCTATGTAGTCATTCACTCACTCCTTTATTCAGTAGTAAATTTTGTGATATGCCAAATGTTGTCAAGTGGCTGTTTCAAAGTAACCACATGAAAAGCCAAGTAGGTTATCATCAGTAGACTGTTAATGGGAAGAACTTGTGATATAAATCAAATGTAACAAGTACTAAACACTCCATTTGGCAACTAAGTCATGTGCTGGCAACCAACCAGCCACTTTTATCCACTATCTGCAGCCTGAAATAAACACACCAAATAGCTGATTATAACGCCTGCCCATGAGCAGCAGCAAGGACCTTTCCTGGGCATTGCACACATTACCATTCATTTTTTTATTCTCTGCTTTCAAACCATGTATTTCTTATCTAAAGATTAAAAAAGCCCACTATACAAACAATTTATTCATATTAAGGGTTTTAAAGTGACAAGTAAAAAAAGCAGTACAACTCTAAGATAAGTCCATTCAAAATATTTGTATTCTGCACCCAGGCTTTCGCAGGAAATCATTCCAAATGCATGTTTAACAATGTGTGACTTAAGCAAATTTTTGGATTATTTGATTCATTTAGCATAAATCTGGAATGCAACACAAATAATGACAACAATGCAGCAAAAACGAGAAGGAGAAGAAGGTGACAACTGAGGTGGCAGTAGTAGCAGCAGCAAAATGAACCCAAAAGCAATGAACCCGCTGACCCTCAAATGGCAGAACATGGGACTTGGCCAATTTTTCCAATGGCTACAAGCGATCTGTTGTCGTTGCTGTTGAGTTTTAGGAATTCTCTATATATTCTGCATATTAATTGCTTGTCACATATATAATTTATAAATATTTTCTCCAATTTGTGGCTTGCCTTTTTAATCTGCTGATATTCTTCTGATGTGTAAATTCCCCCATTAATACTACTTTCTCTACATGCCATAAGTTTTGGTACATTGCACTTTTGTTTTCATTCAACTTTAAGTATTTTTTCATTTCTCTTGTGATTTGTTTTGATCCATGCATTTTTTAAAAGTGTGTTGTTTCTGACTTAAAGTCTGTTTTGTCTCTTTCAGTTACTACTTGCATAGAACATATTTCTCCATCCTCTCACTTTCATTCTGTTTGTGTTTTTGGATCTATACTGACTCTCTTACAGATGGCATGTAGTTGGATCATGGTATGAGTGGTGGGGAGAGGTTGTTTGTTTTCTTGTTCTTAGTCCATTCTGCCAATCTCTGTTTTTCAATTAGATTTTAATCCACTTACATTTAAAGTAATTACTGAAAAGAAGGGCTTTATGTCTGTCATTTTCCTATTTGTTTCTGTAGACCTTATAATGTTTTTGTTCTTCATTTCCCACATTACTCTCCTCTTTCATATTTAGTCGATTCTTTGTAGTAAAATGAGTAAATCTATAATCATTTTGTGTCCGTGTATGTGTATATTATTCTACAGGTATTTTCTTGTGGTTACCATGGGGATTACTTGTAACATCCTAAATTTGTAACACTTAATTTTAACACTTTGAATTTATACCAGCTTCGCTTCAGTAACATACAAAAATTCTGCTATTTACAGCTCCATCTCTAGCCCTTTTGGTTGGTGATGTCACAAAATTCTGTCTTTATACACTGTGGGTTCCCAAACACAAATAATAAATTCTTTTAAATACATTAACATCTTACCTAATGTAGAAAATGAAGCATGAAGTTACAAATCAAAGTTCCAATAATACTAGTTTTTAGACTAATAGTTTTTGTAAATATATTACTCTCTTAGGTCATGTAGAAAACAGAAAATGGAATCACAAACCATTATTACAATAATACTAGTTTTGTAATTGCCCATGTACTTACCTTTATTGAGATATTTTTCTTTTCACATGGCTTTGGGTTATCATCTAGTGTCTTTTCATTTTACCCTCAGTGACTCCCTTGAGCATTTCTTGTAGGACAGTTCTAGTGGTAACAAACTCCTAAGCTTTTATTATTCTGGGAGCATCTTAATTCTTCCCTCACTGTTTGTTTTTTTTTTTTTTTTTTTTTAAGTTCAATTTAATTAACATGTAGTGTATTATTAGTATTATTAGTTTTCGGGGTAGAATTTAGAGATTCACCAGTTGCATATAACACCCAGTGCTCATTACATCAAGTGCCCTCCTTAAAGCCCACCACCTAATTATCCCTATACATCCCCCTTCCAGCAACGCTCAGTTTGTTTCCTATAGTTAAAGAGACTTTTATGGTTTGCCTTCTTTTTGAACAGCTTTGCTGGATATAGGATTCTTGGTTGACAGAAGTTTTGTTTTTGTTTTTTCTTTTAGCACTTTGATTATATCAACCCACTGTCTTCTGGCCTCTGAAGTTTCTGATCAGAATTCTGCTTATAATCTTATTTAGGATCACTTGTAAGTGACACATTCTTGATGTTTTCAAATGTATCTCTTTGTCTCTAGACTTCAAAAGTTTGGTTATAATGGATCTTGGTGTGGGTTCCTTTGAATTTATCTTTCTGGGAGCTTACTGAGCTTCCTGGATGTTTATATTCATGTCAAATTTGGAAAGTATCAACCATTATTTCTTCAAATATTCTCTTTGCCTTTTTTTCTCACTTCTCTTTCTAGGACTCTATAATATGTGTATTGGTCCATTTCATGATGTCCTGCAGATCTCTTGGGTTCTGTTCATTTTTCTTCAGTCTTATATCTTTGTTTTAAGTTCATTGATTCTTCAGGCTGTTCAAAGTTGCCTTTAAATCCTTCTAGTAAATTTTTCATTTCAGTTATTATATTTTCCAGCTCCAGAATTTCCTTTTGGTTTCTTTTGAGTTTTCTATCTTTACACTGATATTTCCATTTTTATCATACATTCTTTTATTTACTTCTCCCACATATCCTTTTTGTTCTTTGAGCATCTTTAAGAGTGTTGTTTTAAAATCTTTGTCTATGGGGCACCTGGGTGGTTCAGTGGGTTAAGCCTCTGCCTTCGACTCAGGTCATGGTCTCAGGGTCCTGGGATCGAGCCCCGCATCAGGCTCTCTGCTCAGCGGGGAGTCTGCTTCTCCCTCTCTCTGGCTGCCTCTCTGCCTACTTGTGATCTCACTCTCCATAAAATAAATAAATAATCTTTAAAAAAATAAAATAAAATCTTCGTCTAGTAGATCTGCCATCAGGTCTCAGAGCCAGTTTCTGTTGATTTTTTTTATTCTTTGATTTCTACTTTCTGTATGCCTTGTGATTTTTGTTGTTGTTGAAAACTGGATGTGGTAACTCTGGAAATCAGATTCTCCCAATTTCCCAGGGTTTATTGTTTTTTCTTGCTGTTTTTACTGTTTCAGTTTGTTGTTGTCATTGTTGTTGCAGGGTATCTCTGTGGCAAAGATAGTCTGAGGTATAAATATAAGGTCTTTTCAAGTCTTTTCTGAGCCCATGTCTTTTCCCAGCTATGTGTCATCATTTTCTAATTTTCCTTATATATGCAGCTGCTCACGAATGTCTTAATTTTCAATGTATGGTTCTCAAAAGAGAAGAAGAGAAAATGAATGAAGAGGAAAAGGACTGCCATTCCTTTTAGTCCCCTGGAAGTCAGTTCAGCAGAGGAGCAGGAGCTTGCCCCAACATGGGGAGGTACAACAACAATGGCTGCTGACTCTGACGGTACCTCAAGATCAGAAGCAGTAAAGATCAGAACACAGAACCTTGATAATTGGGAGGTGGGTTTTTTTGTTTGTTTGTTTGTTTGTTTTTATTTGTTTTTGTTTTTTGCTTACCCTGGCTCTTCCAAGCTGTGTGTAGGCTGCTTCAGGCACACATGTTCGGCTGCTCATCACTTGGCTAAAGGGTGGGAAATGGTTAGCTTCCACTGTGTTAACAGCTAATATTGACCAAAATTAATGCATTTTACCATCTCAGCCTTCCTCTGGAACTTGCAAGCCTTCAATAGACTCTAGAGTTCCAACAAAGTTACATCAGTCAGATTCTGACAGTGCAATCATTGTCTAGATGGAGAGAGACATTCCTGGTGCCTCTGACTCCTCCATCTTCCCAGAATCCTCCTCCAGAAATACTCTTTACACACCAAGGAAAAGGCAAAACTCGTTGCTAGTATAGGATCCACTAAATCATGGATTTAAATACAAAGATTTAGGAGCACCTGGGTAGCTCAGTCAGTTAAGCATCTGCCTTCGGCTCAGGTCATGAGACCAGGGTCCTGAGATGGAGCCCCATGTCAGGCTTCCCTGCTCAGTAGGGAGTCTGCTTCCCCCTCCACCTCTGTCCCTCCCCCTGCTTGTGTGCCCTCTCACTCTCTCTCTCTCAAATAAATAAAAATAAAATCTTTAAAAATAAAATAAATACAAAGTTTTAAATTAACCCATTGTATTGGGTTTCTATAACTCCTTGAAATATTAGCATAAATTTTGTGGGTAAAAACAACATGAATTTACTGCCCCACATTCTATAGAGCACAAGTCCAAGCATGGCATAATTGCTTTCTCTGCTTATGGTCTCAGAAAGCTGATATCAAAAGATCAATCAGGCTGAGCTCTCATCTGGAACTTGGGGTCCTCTTTCAAGATAATTCACATTGTTGGCAATACTCA